CTTAGTAGAGTGAGGGGAAAAAGTAAGACAGAGAAGTCTGTGGCTCACTGTGAAGACGGGCAGACCACTTACTAATTAACATCATAGGCAAAACAGAGTTGGCTTGGGGTAGGTTGACTGCCGCTTTGAGTATCATGGTGAGAAACATAAAAACACCTTTGCCCGTCTTCCACATCTTCACAGACTCAACTTTCACTCCTTCATTCCTTACTCTTCTACTTCCTCTGCTATGAATGGTGCAGAGGTGGTACGGAATGGGAGGTTCAAAGTCAATTCATCACAATTGTCACTGCTCCTTTCTCCTTGCGCTGTTCCCCTGCTCCAGTATAAGGTCCCTTCCATGGGATGATACATCTTCTTTGTGACCTGCTCAAATGACCTGTTTCCAGAGGACTGCAGTTCTTAAGAGCTTTTCCAGTGTGGGTCTCCTACATGGAGTCCCCTTCAGGAACAGATTAATTTGATGTTGGTTCCCTCACAGGCCACAGGTATTTATCTGCCTGTGCAGCTTCCTTCAGGGCATACTACCTGCTCTCAGCCTAGTGTCCCTCAATGGGCTACGGTGTAGTTAATCTGCTCCAGTGTGATTTTCTCCATGGGTAGTCTTTATTCCAGTGCCTGGAGCACTTTTTTCATCCTTGCTCACTCACAATCAGTGGACATTGGGAAGTTTTTTTACTCTTTTCTTAAATATTGTCACTGAGATGTCATCAGCTTGACTGATAATCTCAGCCTTAGGCAGCCTCCAGCTTCCTCTCACAGACCCCAAGAGTCTCTTCAGAAGTTGAATTTGAGAGAACCGTGTATATTTATTCTCTGCTTCTGTAGAAAAGTATAAGTGTGTGGTCTTGCACACTTAAAACACATTAAATGAAATGAGAACTTTGTATCAAATGCAAGTTTACAAATCCTAAAAGTAAAAGAGCCAGGGCTGCTCATTGCAGTGATTCGCATTTTGGTATATGGTGGTTTAAAGGTAACAGAAGGAGCCCATGTCGTGATTGTTTATTCAGAGGTGTAAAAGGTTGTAGCATAGTCAGAATCAAAGATGTAGATGTAGTAAGATAATGTACTGGGCAGACTTCTTGCCCTGGAACTGTAGACTGGAGTCTCTTGAGCTGTATTAGTAGTATTAATAAGGCTGTATTCTGATTTTGTAATTCTAATGCTTAGTACAGAGGTCACAAGTAGATCAGCATCAACAGCTGTCTACAAGAAGCTGAGAAAATGAGACTGTTTTGGTCAACTGGCATGGCAGAATTCTTTGTCATTTTATGCGTTATTCTTAGAGGTTTTGATAGGCCAAGATAAGAATCACAGAAAATCTGGAGTTGGATGAGACCCACAAGAATTAACGGATCCAGCTTGTGGTCCTGCACAAGATGGCCTCTGGTCCAACCTGGACAGAGGTTAATAAGATCTCTCCTACTCACCCCTTTTATTTCTGGTCTTTCACCTTTGCCTCAGGATGCCCTTGATGGCACAGCACTTGTTTTTGTATCAGGTTGAAGATTATGATGTTTGATTAAATGGGCTCAAAGTTAACAATATAATGCTTAAGCTAAAAATGTGTTAATAAAGCATGGCTGGTCATGTTAATGTTTTTTTCTCTTTCTCTTACAGTTCGAGGGTGGCTCTGGTTATGGTAAGTGTTCATGTAGAACCTTTGCCTATAGTTCATTATATAGTTACTATGAAGGGCTTGATGCATACACTTAAATCAGATTATTCTTATGCAGGGGGGCGTGGTTCATATGGAGACCTTGGTGGACCCATCATCACAACACAAGTAACGATTCCCAAAGATGTAAGTAAAGTTGATTTGCTTTCAACTCATGCTTTCTCTTAAAAAAAAAGTCACAGCCGTTTCTCAGACTGTTTTAAGTAAACCAGAAGTTAAAGTGCTTGATAAGTACTTCTAATACAAAACAAGTGTTTCTAAATCACCAGCAGTGTATTGTTTGACTGTTTAGTTTCTGTCTTCAGAGACACATTAAACAATTTTACTTGTGGCTCAATAATAGAGATGGTCCTTGGAACTCGTGTTTTGCAAATGAGACCTGGTTCTCCCAGTTTTATGTCACCTGTGTTTATACAATTAATACTGCGGGGGATATTTTTAGGCTATGAAGAAATAAACTCCCATTGCAACACTGAAAACTTAAATTTGTGGAAACTACTCAAATGCTGTTGTAATTTTCTAACTTTTTGGAAATACAGTTGTATCAGGAAATGAATGTTTCTCCTTTCTTCCGTAGTTGGCAGGATCTATTATTGGAAAGGGAGGCCAGAGAATCAAACAAATACGTCATGAGTCAGGAGCTTCGATCAAAATTGATGAACCACTAGAAGGCTCAGAAGATCGGATAATAACTATTACAGGAACACAGGACCAGATACAAAATGCACAGTATTTGCTGCAGAACAGGCAAGTTAAAATTTAATATTGTCCCTATGTATATTATAAAACTGCTCTCCTCTGTGAATCAGTTTTTTAAGAAGGCAGGTTTTAAGTTACTATTTGAACCTAACTTCTCTAGTGGTAGTTCTGCCTTGATTCTCTTCTGTTCTCCATTCTAATTAAAATGAAGACACTCTCAAAACTAATCTTGCTGGAAGACATCTTAACCAAGCAGTCCTCTCCTTTCTCTGGTGAAAACTGCTGCAAAAAAAACTACTTGTAATAAATTACATAGAGCCTGTAGAAAATATAGAAGATTTCAGTGAATGTTGGCCTAGTTCTGTGTGGAAGACTAGTGATTTTGTTGTTTTTAGATAACTAAATTGACAACAAATCACAGTCTGCCATATGGCACAGACCATGCCTCTACAGGACAAGTTGAAATCGATTTGGGACTGTTATGCAGCATTTCACACCTTGCTGACAGTACTTTGCCTTTTCTGCCAAATATTAACAGCTACAGATAGCATTTGCTGTATTAACATTCTGGCTGCTATAGCAGATTTTAATGTCTTAACTGGAATGTTTGGCTTTAGATTACTAATATTTAACTATGCCTGAAATACACTAATATAATTGTTAGACATTGACATTTTAAAATTATGTACTTTTAAATGTATTAGTAATTTATAATTTAATATGCTTTATGAATGTTGATGCAAGATGTATGGTCCATCATTCTAATACATGCTTTTTTCTTTTTCTTTTATAGTGTGAAGCAGTATGCAGATGTTGAAGGATTCTAATGCAAGATTATTTTTTCTTTTTTATAGTGTGAAGCAGTATTCTGGAAAGTTTTTCTAAGACTAGTGAAGAACTGAAGGAGTCCTGCACCTTTTTTTTTTTTTTTTTTTATCTGCTTCTGTTTAAAAAGCCAACATTCCTCTGCTTCATAGGTGTTCTGCATTTGAGGTGTAGTGGAATCTTTGCTGTACACCAGGTGTAATGTTTTAGTTCCTTACAAATACATGGGGGGGGAAGGGCACACGAGACTAACATTGAAATTTTGAAGCAGCAGAGAGAGTGAATTCTATTTTTGTTCATTGTTGGTGGTAAATTGTACTGTTTTTCTGTAATTGTTGTGAACACCCTGCTTTATGTACACTGTATCTTACCTTGAAGAGGGAGAATATGGTAGGCCACATGTCCCTGGCATTTGTTGAGAGCAGTGTGCAGAATGTATTGCATTTTTGTAAGAAACATTTTAGGATTTTTAAATAAATTTAGTGAACCTATTCTTGGTGGTCATTTTTCTTCAGGTCTACATAAGGTCATAATGGACACACCTAGTTTGTTTCTTTTTTTCCCCATATAAATTAAAGTTGCTGTTAAGCTTGCTCTTCAGTTTCCTTGATATATAGATGGAGTTATGTGGGGTTTTTTGACAAATTAAAGAGATCGTGTGAAAACAATGAATGCTTTGCTGTTTGGGGGGGAAAGGTGAAAATATGAAAATGTTGTGTAAAACTTGACATTTTTGCAAGTGTTTGGCCCTCTTTGCAATACATATATATATTGGTGACAGTATATAAATAAAATATTTTAAAACTTTGTGATGTCACTGCGTAAACAGTGGTAAAGTACACCTGACTTTAGACAGCTTGCTTTAATGCAATGAATTTTACCTGTTTTCTGAGCTTTTGTTTGTATGAGGTAGGAATTGAAAATTGGCAAGTTGAAAATATAACTATGTAACTTGTTTCTCCTTGTATGCAAAATTTCAACTTCTTTCCCAGATGTATGTTGAGTTCCATAAGAATTATTTGTGAGAAATTTTAAAAAATATAAAGCCTCTGAATATCTCATGTAATACCTTGGCATTTGTATTTATAGTTAAAAGTTCTAATTTCACTTCCTGAATAAAAACAGATTAAAAAGTGTAAAGATGTGTGGCACATATAGATATGATGGGTCCAGACTGAGGGTTCTTCTCTTGTGGTTGTTTTTGGTTGGTTGGTTGGTTGGTTGTGTCCCCTTTCCCCCATGATTTGTGGCACATAATAGTGAATTCCGTAGAAAGCAATGCCACCACGCTCCAGGCAGGGGGAAGTCGGCTGTCTTGGTGCAATGGGTACCTAAATTAGAGAAGGCTGCAGTCGAGGCTAAGGTTTTGGGGAAAACGCAAGTGAACTAAGTGAAGGTGTTGAATTTCTCTGTCCTGCTAACTTGAGTATGAATGCAAAAAGGATTGCGGATGGTCTTTGGTTCTTTTCTATTTTGATTGGAGAAAAGAGCTCAACAACGCTCATATTTTTGTTCGTTCTTCTGTCAGGTTGGTTTTTTTCCTTATATCCCTCTCTTTCTCAATGATGAGAATGTTGTGGGAAACTTCGCTGCTCTAGCCTGGCAGGGTTTGAGGGGGCGACTCTCCGTTTGAATGTGCCGGCCCCGCGCTCGCCGGAGCTGAGCTCTGCGCTGGCCCCCGAGCGCCGCCCGGGCCCCGCCTCTCCCGCGCGTGCGCGCAGCGGCAGCAGCGCGGGGCGGGGAGCGGAGCGGGGCCGGGCGGCGAGAACCGCGCCGGGGGCGGGGAGCCTCGGCTGCTGCCCGTGCACGCCCCGCGGGAAGCGCGGCGCTGAGGCTAGCCTCGGCAGCGTGCGTGTTTCCTGCCAGGCATGGAGGTGTTCCCGTCCCCTCTGGAGTCCGCCAAGTTCATAGCCGAGCACAGCAAGGATGTCTCCGTGGACGAGGAAGGGGCGCGGCGGGTGGCGGAGAGCCTGTTCGACAAAGCCTCGGCGGCGGAGTTCGGGCTCGCAGGGTGGAAAAGCCTCCACGAGCTGAACCCCCGGACCGCCGACAAGGAGGCTGTAGACTGGGTGTTCCTGGTGGACACCCTCAACTTCTCCTTCTGGTCCGAGCAGGAGGACCGCAAGTACCTTGTGAAGTACAAGGATAAAACCTACAGTGGCTACTGGTCGCTGTGCGCCGCTGTCAACAGGGCCCTGGACGACGGTCAGTGAGCGCCGGGGAAGCGGGGCAGGGCCGGGGCGAGGGGCGAGGGGCGTCGGGAGCCGAGCGTCGCGTATTGAATGCAGGCGGGCCTCAAGCGGGAAACGCTCTTAGGAACTGGTGCGCGCTGTGTCAGTAGCTCTGTATGGGCAGGCGTCCCGTAGAGCTTGGGGAAGGCAACTGGAAGTGCTTTCTAAATACCCTTGTACTGAAACTACGTAACCCGTGGCTCTAACTGGGTTATCTCTTCCATTCAAAATACTTTAAGGATTGCCAGTAGTCAGCTGTGCGTGACTTGGGTTATTTCACATGTATTCTTAAGATAAGTTCCCTATTTCCAAGGCAAATGAAAAAGTGATTCATAAAGCTTGAATCCTCTGGACTATTCAAATACCGTAGTGTCTAAAGTAAGTCTGAAAACCCAGATGCCGCTCAAACCAGTACTTTAAAACAGTATTTTAAAGTTTTGTATTTAAATCCAGTACTTTAGCCCTCACTTTTTTTGCTGTTCTCGGAAAAAAAACCCAAAACACTAGTAGGTATAGATGACAGTTTTAATTAATTTTCTGCATAGTTATTTGTAAATTGAAGGGGTTTAGCATTAACACACTTTTTGTAAATGCACGGCGTGATTAGGATCCATGAGAAAACAGGCCTATTCCGACTAAACTAGATATACTGACTATATTTGCCAATGTGCCATGTAAACATCACACTTAAAAATACAAAGACTAAACAGCTGGGGGAAATTACATACAAAATTAACAGCGGTTACGTCTTTGTATGTTGGAAATTTGCCGTAGAAGAAAATACTCTATGCACCCACAAAATGAGTTGTGAGCAGCTCTGTGGGTATGGTTATCGCTGAAAACAAAGCTGAGTTTAAGAGTTATGGACTTCTTATATCTTCCTATAGAAGTGCTTTCCTTTAGCAGACCGCTGCAGTTAGGTCTATATGTTATGTTATGTGATAGCCTAAATATCTTATGTTCACTTTTCTGAAGGAATACCTATCACCAGTGCCTCCTATTTTGCCACCATGACGCTTGACCAAGTTAGGCATGTATTTCGATCTGACACAGAAGTGCCTTTGCCATTGATTGAAGAAAGACATCGGGTGCTGAACGAAAGTGGAATAGTTCTGTTAGAGAAGTTTGGAGGGTCCTTCCTCACTTGTGTTAAAATGAGTGAGAAGAGTGCTCAGAAACTGCTACGTCTCGTACTGGAAAATTTTCCTTCTTACAGAGATGAAGCTGTATTTGAGGTAAGCTAATTCTAAAGTTCTGAAAAAAAATCCTACTATTTAGTAACAGTAAAAGACTCTTGATAGTCTACAACTAGTCAGGACAAGAGTCACTTTCTTTTTCCCACCAGAGGAGTACTTTATTTTTCATATGCTGTCTCTTCATCATTTTACTGTAATTTATTTTGGTATACTCTTGAGTTCCCCATTAGATCACACCTCCTTTGTACTTCTTAAAAATGCATAGTATTGGAGATAATTCCTGCCTGAAAAATGGGAATCCTTTTTCCTTTTTTTTTTTTTCCCACTTCCCTTGAATTGCTGACAACCCTTTTCCCCTACTTCTTTTTCTTTTGCTGCAAGGCTCTCTGCAGCTCATGAAAGAAGTGAAACTCTGGTAGCATTAATGCACAGCTACTGGGACTCCACCCTCTAACAGTTGTTGATTCAAAAGGCATTACTCCAATGACTACAGATTAGTAGTAACCCACACTTTTACAAATGTTGACAGTGTACTGAAGCTTTTACTGAAAGAAGCTGATGGGAATTAAACAGTGATCATCTGGTATTTTTTGTCTCCCAGCTTTTACCTTTACAGACATCATTTTCATTTATCACCTATGACTTACGTAGCAGCTCGTATGCTCAGTTGCATGTGCAGTAGTACTCAGCTGTTACATCATTAAATCCAGAAGACTTTATTTTAGTGACAGTACAGCCTATACTACTAGTCTGTGCAGTCTTTTCAACTTCTTGGAATACCAGTCACTGAAGCTTTGAATCTATTGCATTTATTGCCTTTCAGTAGGAGGTGTTATTTTATTTTCCTTTGTCTGCTGCTTGTGAAGCAAAATATATTTACATAAAAAATCAGAGATTCTTTTGAATTAATCTTTGAAGCTACTGGTTTCATTTATTTGGGGTTTTTTTACATATAAAGTAATACTTTGGCAATTTTAATGATCGGAAGGGGAATATTTTCTAAGTAAAATGACATTTTCTTATCTTTATAGTGACTGTACTCATTGACATTATATCTTTCATGACATGATGATGAGTGCTTTATAAAGCAAGCCTCCTTAAAAGCAGCAGCAGACTACAGAATGAAAAGGTGTTCCAAAAAAGATCCCAGACCGTAAGCACTGACTTTGTAATAAAGCCTGTTGCATGAATATGAAAGCTTTTTTTCTGCTTTCACTAAGCAAGATGTGTATTTTGAAGGTGGTGACATGGATCACATTATTTTTATGGCAGCAGGTTGAGCTCTCACAAGTAAGACTTCTAAAGGGTTAGGAGGGAACTGGAAAGATGGTGAAATATCCAGCAGTAAACCAGTGCTTTTCAGTAACTCTCTGAAGGAGAAATATATATGATTATAAGATAAGTCCTACATTAGAATCATACTATCACAGACTGCTACAGCTAACCTTCTAGGGAAGCTTCTAAAATTAGCACAATTATTTGACTGTATGTTTTTCCAAATACATATATAAAATACTTGTAATAATTACATATGTAATCACAGAAATTGCCAGTGTTAGTTTTTCTGAAGAAGATAATGCAAAACAAAACCAAAATCTCCAAAACTTTTTTTTTCTCCTTGGTGGATAATTCGTATGTAGATGCTGTGCTGCATTTGATTCACAACGGCAGTTTAAGTTTTAGACTATATTGTACTGACTTATCAGGATTTTTGTGTTCTGACAAAGACTTAGTGGAGTCCTTTTTGATCTTCCCATATCTTGCAGTTATCTTGTATTTATCTTTCATTTACCATCCATCACCTGGGACTGAGGTTGTGAAAGTCTCATGATCCTATTCTTCGCTTTTTTTTTTTTAATGGCTGTGATATCACATTTTGCTCTTTGCACAGTACTCCTCCTTTCTTTTAATCTAAGTAGGTCATAATTAGATATATCTGTTAATATTAGCACATTGTACTGCAGAGAAGACTCAAATGTTCGGTACTATTTCCTAGAAAGGCAGGGTGTTGCAGAAAAGAAGATAAAAGAAGTATAGTTGTATGGCCATGTTGAAAACAGTTCCATTTTTTTGATAAATTGTACTATCATTACTATCCTTCACACACAGAATCAGAGATTGGGTGAGGGCTTAAGGGACCATACCTACCATAAGTGGGTCCAACCTCCCTGCTCGAGCAGGGTCATCCTAGAGCACACTACACAAAATCGTGTCCAGACAGTTCTTGAGTATCTCCAGTGAGGGAGACTCCACAACCTCCCTAGATGATCTGTACCAGTAAAGCCAATCACACAGTAAAAAAGTTCTTAAGTTCTTCCTCTTTGATGTACAGTATCATCCACCTAGTGCTTTCCTTGCTTTCTGATATATAGTGGGAAAATTTACTTGAAATGCTTCGTAGTTTTTTTTTAATATTGAGATTTTTGTATAAACTTAGTAAGTTCTGTGCAACATAAAGTTAACAATTGAAACAATGAAATTATAAATTTATCTGCTCAGTGATGAGTCCCAGACAATGTTTTTCTTCTTAATTAAACTGCAGCATGAAATGAAAAGTTCCATTCTAATTCTGCCTTCCTCTGCTCTTTTGAAATGGTGTGGTGCTAGAGAAAATCAGTTCTTTACTACTGGAAAATTCTTAATGCTATGAAAGAATTACATCCTTGCTTTGGGGCAGTAGGAGCTATGATAAAATTTGGTCTGCTAATTATTTACTTCTTGTTACGTCTTCTTGTGTGATATTTTAAGTGGTGTTTTGTTATGTAACATACAAAATCACATACCTTGTATAGAAGTAAGTTTGTGCATCTTTGTCAAGTATAGAATGAGGCACGAGGAAAGCAGGAGTTTTGAGGATATTTGCAGAAGTTGTTTTTTGAAATGTAGTTGAAATTCTCAGTGTTTTTGGAGAATATCATTCAAAGACAAAAAATGTAATTTGCTTTCAGGAACAGTTATAGCACCTTGGTAGTAAACAAAGAGAAGCATTCATTGAAGTTTTCACTAGAATTCTATTTCCTTACAGATAAATGGATTAACAAAATGTTTTAATTGTCTAGTACAATACATGCCTATTATGCTTCTCTTGTCAAATTAAAAGGTTGGATGTACTGCAGAGTTTCTGAAAATTAATGTTGCTGGATATTCAACTATACTGTTTGCCAAGTGGCAGTAAACAACTATGAATGTGTTATGAGATCCAGGCATATTCTAAACAATTTTTATTTGCTGCAGTAACTTTTATTATGTTATTCTTTTATTTCACTTTATTTATGAGCATTCCACATAATTCATGTTTGTAGTCTGATATTGTTTAGATTTTAAGATGTTTAAAAGTGTTGCAATTTTATTCTGTTCTAGTTAAGTAATGTTCACTTAACAATATGATATACTTGATGTGTTATTTGCTATATTTATTGATTGGGCATTTAAATAATCCATAAATTTCTTTCTTCAGAAAAAGAAGGTGTCTTTCTACAAACGGGCACAGATACTTGTGGCTGACACATGGAGTGTTTTAGAAGGCAAAGGAGATGGCTCTTTTGATGATATTTCCAGTCTGACAATATTTGCTGACTACAGAATTCCACAAGTCCTTGTTCACTTAAAAGCAATGAAGTATTCGGAAGAGTTAATGAAGAAACTACGTGAAGGTTTGTTCTGTCCTTGCTAATATCAAGTAATCTTACTGCCTGATATTGTAGACTAAGGCTAGTTCTAAAATGTATTATGTTGTCCATGTAAGGGTTATGGGTCAGTTTTTTTCTTCCAGGGAACAAGGATTTCTTACGTAGTCATGAGGTAACAGGAACATTTTTCTCTAATCATGATCTTGAGTGAGGTTTTAACGTTACTTTTTTGTAAAGACCTAACTGTTTTGTGGATTAAACATTGATAAGGGAGGAATTAAAGAGACTCAAAGACAATTTGAGTTTCTGAAAAGCTGCTGTTGCAAAACCACTTTTCTGCATGAGAATAGTTACGATTTTTGAGGTTTACATAAAAGAAAAAATGATTTTGTCATTAATTCAAATATGATGTAAAAGCATGGGAATTCCTCTTTATTTGTACTGAACTGCTAGTTAATAAGCAAAATAGTATTATAAGCATCCATTAAAAAATATTGCTTTAAATTAAGTTAATTGCGTATGACTAGGATTTAATTTTTGAAGCATGGTTTCATCTTCCCAGTACTTAGTAACCATGAATTTTAGAGAATAAAAATAAGCCAATCTCTTTTGCGCTGTGAAATGACTGTATTTAGATGTGCAACTGCTATTACACAATTTCAGAAATACCCAGGAAGATAAACAGATTAATGCAGTTGCCCTTGTATTTTAAAAGAATGTCTGTAAGTGTATTTATATCTTTATGCATATCTATATATTGAATAGAACTCATAGACATTTTATCCTTCCAGGAATCCTAATGAGAACACTCCCATTTAAATAATTCCACTGTTTCTCTGTTTCTCTTTACATTCAGTTCTTTTGAGGGGCTGCTCGATTTTTATTCTAAAATCTTAGACTTCAGTCATCCTGGAAGAAAATATACTATTAAGTATAATAATTATATATTAAAAAATATACTATAATAAAATACTATCTTTTTTGTCCCCATAAGCAAAGAAATGCAGTACACCCTGTCCCTAAAGCAGTTCCTTAGAATATAGGATGTTCTTTGAATTGAATGGGAGGGAAGCTTCTATGTGCAATATGGTAAAATAAAAGTAACCATTAGAAAATGTGTAGCAACATTGTTAACAGTTGGAGGGTAAGTCGTGGGAACCAGAATCCTAGAACAGAATAAATGTAAAGGGGAAAAAATTAGCAAATTTTGGCAGTCCTTGACCTTGTCTGTTGCACGTAAATGGATTGCTGTCTCTTGTGTCTGCAGGAACACTTTTCCAATCTGGAGACAAAGAAGAGGTAGAGATCCGTGGCTGTTCTATTTGGTGCTGTGCATTGATTTGCAAGCACCTACAGGAGCTCTATCAGAAGAAGGGTCAGGACATGCAGGAAAAGATCAATGCAGTTTTACTCGATTATTATCTTTGGGACTATGCCAGGGATCACAGGGAAGAGATGAAAGATATCCCGTTCCACCGAGTACGGTGTATATATTACTGAGTCCAGTCCAAGTCCTGTCCGATAGCTCTTGTATTGGTGCCTTATCTTTTGAACTGCGGTTTTGCTTTTAATATGGTGATTTGTCATGCACTAATTTGGAACTGTAAAATCAAATGCTTGTTTTCTGCTGATGTAGTAATAATGTGCCTTTTTTCCGCCATTGATTTGTTACCTTTTCTTTTAATCTTTTGCTTGCCCTGACTGCAATTAACAATGTAAACTTTGCTCCGTGTTCAGGTAGGATTTATTACTCCTGCTTTGATCTCTATATTGGTGTACGCAGCTGCCTGTGCGCACAGCCGGGTGTGTGCAGATACTGTGGTGTACCTTGGCCACTCCCTGTTCCCTCCCACACCTGCACGGAGGTAGCAGGTGCTTGGCAGATGCTTTACTGCTCAGATATGGAATTGTAACCCGTCCACTCGTCCAATAAACAATGCAGTGACAGACGTGCCGTGTGGGTGTATCTGTGTTTTTTTTCCGCTAGGGGTGAGATTGGGGGGCTCAGCCCGTGCAGGGAAGGAGGTAGCAAGGGAGGGGAGGAATCACAGAGTCACTTAGGTTGGAAAAGATATCTGAGATCATCTAGTCCAACCTAGGACCGAACACAGTCTAGTGTGTAGTAGACTTTGTCTACTAGACTATGGCACTGAGTGCCAAATCCAGTCTTTCCTTAAACACCTCCAGGGAGTGTGACTCCACCACCTGACTGGGAAGCCTGTTCCAATATTTAATCACCCTTTCCGTGAAGAAATTTTTTTAATCCAACCTAAAACTTCCCTATCACAGCTTGAGGCTATTTCCTTTTGTACTGGCACCTATTGCCTGTGAGAAGAGGCCGAACGCCATCTTGCTACACCTTCCTTTCAGGCAGTTGTGGACAGCAGTAAGGTCCGCCTGAGCCTGCTCCAGGCCAAACACTCCCAGCTCCCTCAGCCACTCCTAATGGGACTTGTCGTCCAGACCCTTCCGCAGCTTCGTTGAGCTTCTCCGGACAAGCTCCCGCGCCTCGCTGTCCTCGCCGGGCGGAGGAGCCGAGAGCCGGGCCGGGAGCAAAGGAAGCAGGGCCGGGAGCCCGCCCGGCGCGCCCCCGCGCTGCTCCCGCCGCTGGGGCGGCCGTGCGCGCGCCCGGCCATGGCGGCCGTTGCCTAGCGAGGGCCGCAAACAGCGCGGGCCGCCCGGCGCTGCCCCCGCCGCCGCCGCCGCCGCCTCGGCTCGGCCCGGGTCCGCGGCACCCCTGCGGCCTCCGCGGCACCCCACGGCACCCCACGGCACCCCACGGCACCCCACGGCACCTCACGGCACCCCACGGCACTCCGCAGCACCCCGCGGCCTCCGCGGCACCTCCTGCGCGGCCCCAGCGGCTCCCGACACCCGCGCGTGTACGATCCCGGCCGCTCCTCGGCTTTGGAGACGTTGCAAACACGGAAAATCTGCTGGGCCGCCCTCAAAACATCCCTGCAAGCGAAAAGGTTGCCAGTATGTTTGCATCTGCCTTATGGCAGCCGCGGGCGTATCTTCGGAGATACTCTGAAGTATCTCTCCAGCCTTGGCGTATTGGGAGTATTTCATATTCTCACCTTCTTTTACCAAATAGATTCTCAAAAAATAAGGTTTCACTTCCACACTCGGGACATGGTTTGTTAATTTGATTGTTTATTATTATAACTTTAAAAAGAGAGTAGGAAACATTGGCACTAAAGAGCAGCACTTGCTAGGGGATAAACAAATAATGCACCCATTTGTCAATCAAAATGTAGTTTTAATCTGTAGTTAAGGTTATTTAGTTATGTTTATTTATCTGTTTTTGATTTCCATGTCCCTTATGACACTAGTCTTGGCTCATTCTCATGCTCTGCTCACTTGTTCTTATGCTCAGTCAATAAAACGGGGCTTTTCCTTTTTCAAACTTCAGTTGTGGATACCCAAGTCCTCAAAATAAAAGGAATAAAATGAAATGAAAAAGCTCTTCTCTTTGCAGCTGTCAGACTACACTGTTTTAAGCTATTAGTTTTCAACAAACTTGAATTTCGAGGGCATAACTGATTTTTGCCAGTTCAATAGTACAGCTTTCTTGAAGACAATGTGTATGAGAGCACGAAGTTCAGCAAACTTTATCTTGCAACAGAATTAGAACAACAACAGAAAAGATGTATGTAGTGATGCGTTGGGTTTTAACTTCTATATTTTTCAGATTCTTTGCTATTTAGTGTGTAACTCTGAAGCTTCATATTAGATGTTAGTAAGGTCTCTTCACAGGATAGTTAGACAAAACAATCTCTTCCCAGTTAGAGAATCAAGGACACCATTACCCAAAAAGCATAAACAACGGTGAGGGAAAGGGGGCAAGACAGGGGGCTGAGACTACATAGCATGGAGCTGTGGTTGGACAATTGACCCCAATATGTTGGTGAGCCAAAACTCATAAAAGTGTAGAAACTTGTGACCAGGATCCATCTTGGATTCAATTTGGGTGTAGCCCTGGCCAGGCTCTTGCACTGCCTAAGGTGTATCCTTTCAATAAATATCTATTTTATTCCTTTTACCCTGTCTATTCTCTGTTGCAGGTCAGCCTTTCAAGCATCAGTTTAATCCCATGCAGATTTTTGAATTCCAGTGAAAAACAGCTATAAAGAAAGGTAATTCCTTCATATTTACAAGTCTGCTACTTTGCAATGCTTATGCTTTAAGAATAAATATCTGCCAGGCAGTATAAGGAACCATGTATGCTAAAACTATAATTTCTAAAAAATAATTATGTGTATGTTTAAAGTTTCAGATCAAAATCAGAGGAATGCTTTACATGTAGTAAATAGATATATTTAAAACCTTTTTGCTTGTTGAGCTAGAAGTATTTGGTGCTTGGTAAGTGGAAGAGGGTATTGAAACATATATATATATATATGTACATACAACTTTTGGAGAAAAATATTGTGTTTGACTAATTTGTGTTGCCTATGCAATATGAATGCAGGAACAGGAAAATGAGAGGATCCATTGTAACCCATTGCTTTATCAACAGTGTTTATTAACAAATGTGGTATTTTTGCTTTGTATGACTGTGTTATATTCAAATAGGAAATCAGGCAACTTTCAGACTTAAGTCTGCTAGCTTGGAAATTAATAGATGCAAAATTAATTTATTAATTGATTATATAGTTATTAATAGAACTGCATTTATACCAAGTATATCTCAAGATTATAATGGTGCTTACATGTTCCTTAGGAAATCTCAATTTTCCACTTCAGGAGATTCCTTTTTTTTTTGGTGTTGTATAACATGGAAAACTTTTCTTAGTTGCAGACAACTGTCTTATCAGTGAACAGAGCAGTGGTAACAGATTTCTTCTTGACTGTGTGAATACTGAGTGGGAAGCACAAGGGTGGAGTCCGGCATGGAGGAGATCCCAGTTAAAGTTGCAGTCCGAGTCAGACCTCTGCTTTCCAAAGAAATACTTCATAGCCACCAAGTGTGCGTCAGATTAGTCCCAAATGCTAAACAAGTTATCATTGGAAAGGACCATGTCTTCACTTTTGATTTTGTATTTGGGAAAAACTCAACACAAGAAGAAGTTTATGCTGTCTGCATTAAGCCTCTTCTAGTGTCTCTGACTGAAGGATACAATGCTACAGTGTTTGCATATGGACAAACTGGTTCTGGGAAGACTTACACCATTGGTGGTGATCGCATAGGTAGGTTATAGAAAGGTTTTTTTAATTGGTAAAGGGTTCATTTGTGCAAGTTTAATATTTATTACATAGCAGATGATGCTGCAGAATTTTAAGGACCAAGGAAAAAAGCAAAACTTCCAAAATGTATGTGATAACTAAAATTCTAAAAACTTCTCCCTAAATTAGACTATACTAAAAATATATAAGAAAAAGCCAATTTGTTAAGTGTTCTTTCACATTCCACATTTTAAGTTATATTAGAACTTTTTCTCTAAAATGTAGTGGTTTTGAAAATTTTGCCACGTTTATCTTACCTTGAAAATGTCTTCATTAGGCACTTAATTATTTGCTTGCTCATTCTGTGTTGTATTTGTTTGCTTTCTGGGGGCTTTTGAGAGAAATTTCATTGACATCAAAGAAATTTATTATTTAATTCTTCCAAATGGATATAAATAGAGTATTGTAAAGATCTTGCTAGAGTCTTCCTTTTATTTAGAATTATAGGATCACAGAATCATTTAGGTTGGAAAAGACCCCTAAGATCATAAAGTCCAACCATTAAGCCTGCATTTCCAGGTCTACAACTAAGCCTGTTCCATTGGTTGACCACCAGTGAAGAAACTTTTTCTAATATCCAATCTAAACCTCCCCAGGTGCAACCTGAGGTTATTTCTTCTTGTCCTGTCACTTTTTATCTGGGAGAGGAGACTGACCCCCCACGGTTACACCCTCCAGTCAGGTGGTAGTAGA